TAGGGGCGCCCAGGCCGGCAGGGGAGGGCAGTTGGGGGCAACCGGACCGGCATGGGAGGGCAGTTGAGGGTGATCGGGCCAGTAAGGGATGGGTAGATGGGGGCAACTGGGTCGACAGGGGAGGGCAGCCGGGGGGCAATTGGGTCAGCAGAGGAGCAGTTAGGCATCAATCAGGCAAGCAGGGGAGCAATTAGGGGGCAATCAGGCTGGCAGGCAGAAGTGGTTAGGGGCAATTAGGCAGGCAGGCAGGCAAGCAGTTAGGAGCCAGCAGTCCCGGATTGTGCGAGGGATGTGTGACTGCCGGTTTAGGCCCGATCCCTGTGGATCACTTAGGCCCACAGGGACCAGGCCTAAACTGGCAGTCAGACATCCCCTGAGGGTTCCCAGATTGGAGAGAGTACAGGCCAGGCTGAGGGATACCCCCCTCCGTGCACAAATTTTGTAACCTGGCCTCTAGTTAGATCATATTAAGGCGTAGATTCTGGAAGAGAAGTGGCCATTGCTTTCTAGGAAGGATTTTAAGGCAGAAATGCTGTAAATAGCCTCACTGCCAGATTTCCAAGGCACAGAAAGAGCATTCGAAAAAAGTAGAATAAGACTCAGAATAAAATGATGTCCTTCACATGTAACAACTAGATGCTTCCACAGTCAGTTAAATACTGGAAGAAGAAATCTCTGAATACATTTATAGAAACAATAAATAGAAAAGCATTTGAAAAATAAGTGTCCTATATTGCACTAAAAAATAAAATAGAAAAAGTGAAGTGGATGATGAATCAAAGTGTTCTGAAGAAGAAATCAAGCACCACATTTTGGTTTTACCCTTAAACTCAAAGATAAATTTCTCTAAAGATTAAAAGACAACCTTACAAATATTTTATTGATACAGATACTACAATATCAACCTACTACTTCTACATAACCTCCCGTGTCACCAAACCACTAAGATGTGAGTATCTCCAATAACTCTTGAACAGTTCTCAAATCCTACCCCATAAATGTCTAAGAAACTTTTGACCAAGGAACATTCTTTTCTCCTCTATGCTGGCTTAATAGGTAATGATTTGCTACACAAATGCAACTGCCAAATAAATATTCCTATAGCTTCTTCCCTGAAATCACAGAAGAGTACCCTATCATAATGAAGTCATGGCAAACTTGAATTCAAATTGAAGATTTCAACTAGGCGCCAGTCATCTTGTTGGCAAAAATTCTACCTACAATGGCAGACTAAGTGGGCGGAACCCATCAAGGTTCAGAGTGACCCACCCAAAAACTAGACCCAAATTTCCCTAATAGCTTCAAAAACCAGAATCTAAAGGTACTAAAAACAATAGTCAGAAGTATATTAGAAGACTCCTTAAACATTTTACCAGCCCTAGCCAGTTTTGCTCAGTGGATAGTGTCAGCCTGTGAACTGAAAAGTCCCAGGTTCAATTCCAGTCAAGGGCACATGCTAGGGTTGTGGGCTCGATCCCTAATGGTGAACTTGCAGGAAGAAGCCTATCCATGATTCTCTCTCATCATGGATGTTTTTCTCTCTCTCCCTCTCCCTTCCTCTCTGAAATCAATAAAAATATATTTTTTTAAAAAACACACTATACCAGTCTTCATAACATTCCTATTCTCCTAATCAAAACACTCAGTGGGTGGGTATAGTATAGTGTCATTCAGGACTTCAGAACTATAAAGACCAGTCATTACCGACTTCGTTGTAGCACCAAATGTAAATGCTACTTTATCTTTGGGTCCTCTGAAGGCAATATATTTTAGACCCATGTTCTGCTTTCTTCTGTATCCATTAGCTCAAAATAGCTAATACTTGTCTGCCTTCTAGGAAAATCTGTAACATATTCCTGAAAAGTTCAGGAATTCCCTTGAACTTTTCACAAGTCCCTAAACAAGACCTCAAAACAATAAAGTTCCCTGTGATCACTTTTTATCTTTTATGTGGATAACTTTTTGTTCCCAAAAGATGAGGCAGGCTCTAAGACTGACTCCATCTTTGCTTCCTGTTTTAGCTAAGAAAGGGCATACACTTCCCAAAGAGAAGTGGTTATAATTCTGTCAAAGTAAAATGCATTGCTTAGGGCGTGACTTATTTCGAGGAGGTAAATCCCTGGTTCCTCAATACCAGCCCTTGAAACTTCACATAAATATCCTGAACCAGGAAGTCTCATTCTTCCCCCTATCATTTTCAATGCTGTATGTTTTCCTCTGTGTTCTACAGTATTTTTCTACTTGATCTTCCAGGTCACTAACTCAGATTTCAACAATAGCTATTCTTTTTTTGTTATCTACTGAACTGTTCTGTGGAGAAGTCTTCTTTAACAGCTCCAGAAAGCTTTGTTCTGCAATTGGTTCTCCCTAAGTGCTCTCATTATTATGTCCTGGGCCACTCTAACTCTGGGAGTTTTATTGCTTTTCTGTTTTCTTTCTGGGTGTTAGCTGTGATTTTTCTTTCTCAGATGCCTGGAACTCAGCTTTGGTTGCTCAAGTATCCCAAGTGACAGCAAAACCACAAGAAGGTGCAACAGGTAGAACAGATACTGATATCAGCTCATCACTCCCTCCTGTAATAGAATCATACATTTACTGTCCTCTGTGGCGGAGCTTCTCACAGTCAATAGTGTGGACTTCTCGGTCCACTGGTGCAGAATTAACAGTGTGCTGGTTCTCAGAGAAGATGTTAAGGGATGATCTAGGCATGTTTCTGCTCACCCTGTTGTCCTGTCATCTGCCATGAGATAAACCTGCTCCAAGTAGACTGGTCTCAAAATGAAAGCAGAGAGACATGAATTCAGACCCACAGCCTAAACCAGTGATGGCTAACCTTTTGAGCTCAGCGTGTCAGCATTTTGAAAAACCCTAACTTAACTCTGGTGCCGTGTCACATATAGAAATTTTTTGATATTTGCAACCATAGTAAAACAAAGACATATTTTTGATATTTATTTTAAATATTTAAATGTCATTTAACAAAGAAAAATCAACCAAAAATTGAGTTCGCATGTCACCTCTGACACGCCTGTCATAGGTTCGCCATCACTGGCCTAAACTGTCCAAGCTAATCCACAGATCCACAAATGAGAAAAGTAAATGTCTATTTTGAAAACCACTGAGATTCTGAGATTGACTGTCACAGAGCATCCTGACAGCACACACACACAAAGCCTGATCAATATGACAACTATGAGCAGCAACCACCTCCTAGTACCTCAGTGATGCACTGAAAACAAACATCTACCCTTCCTCAAACATGCCTGCGTTCTAGCCTCACCACCCTAGTTCATCCCTGATCCCTGGGAGGCCTGAGAAAACCGGCAAATGTTGACTGAAGGATCTCTGGAGCCAGTTTCTCTTCCCAAGAGGATCCCCATTTCCACCCTTGTCCCAGGGGCTTTCCTAGGTTGGTCTCTGGTCCTTGACCAGTCCTTAAGATAGCAATCCTGCAAACGCTAAGTCAGTGGGACAAGAGCACCCAGCCCCTTTTGCATATGGATTATCTAAAGCCCTACTCCAGCAGTTACTGGGGTCTACAGAGGAAGACAGACTGGACTTGGTAATTAAAATGATAGAATAATTTATTCAGGTTATAATTTTCCCAGAACTAATCTTTTAAAAATATTTATCAACCATGATTTTTTACTGATATTTCTCTAGTCAAATGCTACGTTTCTCTAAATGTACTTCTTCTTGGAATCAAAATGAGAAAAAAGAAGAAAAAATTGGGTATGTATATATGGAAAAAAAGGCCAAATCCTACCTACCACTTACTTTATGGAATAGGTATACAGTATTATTGCATCATACAGAATTATACCAAAACCTACCTATAAAATCAGGTTTTAAACATTTAAATACATTTGCAATGAACTTATTTAACATCACTTAAGACTCCGTCTAAAAAGTCTTCCTCAAAAGAAGGGCTTCTGTTGTGCATGGCACACGCAGAGCAGCCTGACTGCTGCACGTGCAGAGTGAACACCAAGAGATTCGGAAGCATAATTTTTTGGTACTTGGGCAGCTGGTCATCATTGGTCCTGGAACCCACGGGAAAAAAAAAAAGTCTTCCTATATTGAGATTAGGAAGTCTGTAAATAAATATCAAATTGGCTTATAGTCAAATAACTCAACTATATGCCTCTGAAGGTTCAATACTGTCCCCACTTACCATTTTCAACAGATGCATCCTCAGGCAGATCCACATCAAGCATAAGGTCATCATCCTCCAGATCACATGATTCAAGATTATTCAGAATATCCTGTGAACAAAAGCAGTAGAAATGCTATGACCTAGTTCCAGGATGTAAGTAATCATTAGTTCTGAAAACATGAATATATGATAATATGAATTTACTCAATGTTTATGTGTGAAGAACAGTTTTTAGAAATAAAAATTTTTAAATAATAAAAATAGATTCAACTGGTTTACCTGATTAAGCTATTTGTAACATCCTTTTCCTAGTCTTCCTCCCCATCAGTAGATTTTTACTTTGAAAAACTTACACACTGAAAGATATTGTTCTAAGCACTTTACAAATATTCATTCATTTATAACATAACCCTATGATTTTGTGACTAGTACAATTCCCATATTATATATGATGAATTTAACGCACAGAGAGCCTAAATAATTGGCCAAAACAGGATATGAACACAAGAAATCTAATACAATATACAGATTATGTACTATAGAACTGTATACCTTAAGCCTATATAATTTTATTAACCAATGTCACTCCAATAAGTTCAACTTTTTAAAAAAAGAACCTACCAAATCTTATTTATATCTGGTGTAGGAGGTTTTGTTTTATTAACTCTAGGGATTGAACAATTTATGTTAAAATAACAAAATAATCCTTTAACCCTGTGATTACTCCATTCCTTTCTTGTGCCAAAGCTACCTACTACTACCTTTAGCACCACTACTACCTCCTTGCTTGACCCTAATTCATTCTTTTTCTATAATAGGACTGGAGTAGTCAAATGGCTATTAGGAGCCCCTCCTGTGTTCTATTTGCAATCTTGCTAGCTATCCTCTATCCTTAAAAAAAGTAATGTTTTGCTATCAAAGACCCTTGTTCTAAAGTCTAAATAACTAAATAAACAAAACTAAGTTTAAGGTAACAAACTCAGGTTGACTTATAACCCAGTAGCGGATCCTTTCAATACAAGAACGGATTCAATACTGCAAGACCTGTCCTTAGCATATACATGTAAGAAGATCACAAATCCACAAATTTTTAAATGATTTAGAGATTATAGCCTTGAAAGACTATTAGACGGGAAATAAGAATAAATTAGCATTGTTCCCTGTGTCAGCTATGCCATGCAAATCTTTTCAATTTTATGTTGAAATGGGTCCTTCCAATATATGCTGAGAACTAAAAATAACCTGAATAACTCTAATTGTTTTTTTAAAAAGCTCTGGATAATTATTTAACCCTGGCACAAGAAAGGTATTTCATAAAACCTGTTTCAATTGTGAAAGATTTGCTTTCCTTAATACATAGTCTTCCTAAAAATCCAGAAAAAATTTGAATATGAAAAAAAATGGCAAAGGCCATATGGCAGACCACAAAGTAAATATAAATTAAACAATGAATAAATATGATGTAGGAACGAATGCTAACACCAGTTGACTTAACACGGTGGAGAGGAATCTAGTATTAATCTGTAATAAGATAGGATTAGATTCATATAAATTTTCTGGAGGACAATTTGTCAAAATTTAGCTAACAGTTTTTTTAAAAAAGTAAATTTTTCCTTCCTAAGAATGTATGCCTTAGAAATAAACACGTGCAAAAAATGTATGTATAAGTATGGTTACTGCAGCATTATTCAGAAAGGCAAAAAAGTAGAAATAGCCTAAAAGTCCAACAATAGAAAAATGGTTAAACAGAAAGTATGATATAGTCATACAACAGAATATTGTTATTATTTTAAAAAGATAATAAAAATATATTTATAGACATGGAAAGATGTCAATTGGGGCAAAAACAGACTGGGTTCTTTTAATCTTTTGCTCTTAAAAATAATGTTTCAACAGGAACAAGACTGGGATGCCCACTCTCACCACTCCTGTTCGACATAGTACTGGAAGTACTAGCCATTGCGATCAGACAAGAAGAAGTAAAAGACATCCAAATTGGAAAAAAAGAAGTAAAACTGTCCTTATTCGTAGATGACATGATATTGTACATAAAAAACCCTAAAGACTCCATCAAAAAACTATTAGATTTAATAAATGAATTCGGCAATGTAGCAGGATAGAAAATTAACGCCAAGTAATCTATGGCATTTCTATATAGCAGTAGTGAACGTGCAGAAAGAGATACTAAAAAAGCAATCCCATTTACCATCACACCTAAAAAATTAAGATACCTAGGAATAAATATAACTAAGGAGGTAAAAGACCTATAAGCAGAAAAGTACAGGACACTGAAAAAAGAGATAGAGGAAGACCTAAACAGATGGAAGAGCATACCTTGTTCATGGATTGGTAGAATCCCCATCATCAAAATGTCCATACTACCCAAAGCAATCTACAGATTCAATGCAATCCCCATTAAAATACCAACGGCATCTTTAACAGATGTAGAATGAACTTTCCAAAAACTCATCTGGAATAAAAAAAAAAGACCTCGAATAGCTGCAGCAATCCTGAGAAAGAAGGACAAAGTAGGTGGGATCTCAATACCAGATATCAAGTTGTATTACAAAGCCATTGTT